GCAACTGTGTAATTTTTTTTTCTTTTAAAGCATGAAAATATATCTCCATTCATAGCTAAACATGACCATAATAAAATAGTTGCTCTAAGTTGGTTAATTAAAAAAAAAATTTTTTTGGTAGCCTGCCCCCTTAAGTGTTCTATTAAATGAATATGGCCAATATTTAGTTTTTTAAAATACTTTCTATTTCTTGTAATTCTTGTTTTGTCCTGTCTGCTGAGAAAGCCTTTTAGCCGAAACATTCCTCTTTTATTGTCCTTTCTTTCTATTTAAAGCTTTCACTTACCCTGTTCTTCTATTTAGTTAAAGTAAGACTGAAACTTACTGCCCCATGATGACATGTCACTTTAAAAACTGATCCCATCAGGTGGACAAGAAAGAAATTGAAGGCAGAACTCTGATTGAAGTCCCTGGCTACACGGAGAAAGTTGAGTTTGGTGTTTTGGTCTCATTTGCCTACAAAGTCATAGACTCTGGTGAGTAAATAAGAAAGTTGAGTTAAGAGTTTTGGTCTCATTTGCCTACAAAGTCATAGACTGGTCAGTAAATAAGAAAGTTGAGTTAAGAGTTTTGGTCTCATTTGCCTACAAAGTCATAGACTCTGGTGAGTAAATAAGAAAGTTGAGTTTGGTGTTTTGGTCTCATTTGCCTACAAAGTCATAGACTGGTCAGTAAATAAGAAAGTTGAGTTAAGAGTTTTGGTCTCATTTGCCTACAAAGTCATAGACTCTGGTCAGTAAATAAGAAAGTTGAGTTAAGAGTTTTGGTCTCATTTGTCTACAAAGTCATAGACTCTGGTGAGTAAATAAGAAAGTTGAGTTAAGAGTTTTGGTCTCATTTGCCTACAGTCATAGACTCTGGTCAGTAAATAAGAAAGTTGAGTTTGGTGTTTTGGTCTCATTTGCCTACAAAGTCATAGACTCTGGTGAGTAAATAAGAATGTTGATTTTGGTTTTTTGGTCTCATTTCCTACAAAGTCATAGACTCTTTTGAGTAAATAAGAAAGTTGAGTTAAGAGTTTTGGTCTCATTTGCCTACAAAGTCATAGACTCTGGTGAGTAAATAAGAAAGTTGAGTTTGGTGTTTTGGTCTCATTTGCCTATGAAGTCATAGACTGGTCAGTAAATAAGAAAGTTGAGTTAAGAGTTTTGGTCTCATTTGCCTACAAAGTCATAGACTCTGGTGAGTAAATAAGAAAGTTGAGTTAGGTGTTTTGGTCTCATTTGCCCACAAAGTCATAGACTCTGGTCAGTAAATAAGAAAGTTGAGTTAAGAGTTTTGGTCTCATTTGTCTACAAAGTCATAGACTCTGGTCAGTAAATAAGAAAGTTGAGTTAAGAGTTTTGGTCTCATTTGTCTACAAAGTCATAGACTCTGGTGAGTAAATAAGAAAGTTGAGTTAAGAGTTTTGGTCTCATTTGTCTACAAAGTCATAGACTCTGGTCAGTAAATAAGAAAGTTGAGTTTGGTGTTTTGGTCTCATTTGCCTACAAAGTCATAGACTCTGGTGAGTAAATAAGAAAGTTGAGTTAAGAGTTTTGGTCTCATTTGCCCAGAAAGCCATAGGCTCTTTTGAGCAAATAAGAAAGTTGAGTTTGGTGTTTTGGTCTCATTTGCCCAGAAAGTCATAGACTCTTTTGCGTAAATAAGAAAGTTGAGTTAAGAGTTTTGGTCTCATTTGCCCAGAAAGCCAAAGACTCTTTTGAGTAAATAAGAAAGATGAATTTAGCATTTTGGTCCCATTTGCCCAGAAAGTCAGAGACTCTGGTGAGTTAACAAGGAAGTTGAGTTTGGAGTTTTGGTCTCATTTGCCCAGAAAATCATGGAATTGATTAAATCTTTTCAAAAAATTTTTTTTAAATCTTGCAAAAAATCTTTAAACTTACATTTTTAAATGTATTAGAATGTGATATCATCTAAATATTTAAGCATGTTTGTATAGCAGTCCCTTGTAGCTGTGGATCGTCCTAAATGATCAATTTTGTTAGAAGGATAGTGTTAGCAAAACAAGTAATATTTTTGCCCCCATTCATGAACTTTGCAGACCTCCCTGTTCTAAATACAATTATAATGAAATATGGGCCAACCCTCTTGCTCCAATAACTTTGCTTGTGTTACTGATATTTGGCTTTACTTGATAGGCAAACCCTCTTGCTCCAATAACTTTGCTTGTGTGACTGATATTTGGTAAACTTGATAGGCCAACCCTCTTGCTCCAATAACTTTGCTTGTGTTACTGATATGTGGTATAATTGATAGATCAAATCTCTTGCTCCAATAACTTTGCTTGTGTTATTGATATGTGGATGTTTTCTTGTCTCTTTCATTTAGAAAAAGGATTCCCTTAAGCATATATGCAAAAAATAATATCGTAGACATATTTTATTTTTATGCTCTTAGGCACATTTCATATTTCTGTTTCATATTGTAGCCTATTGTTATATCTGGGATCAGCTCAAAATACATGTGTTCATATTCTTTCTACAACATTAATCTGTATTGCCAAATAATTGAATATTTTGCTTAAATTCCCCAGATGAGGAGGTCGTTGTTGCCACCACCCGTATAGAAACCATGCTGGGAGACTCTGGCGTGGCCGTCCACCCCAGTGATGACAGATACAAACACTTGAAAGGAAAGTTTGTTCAACATCCATTCTGTCAGAACCGGAAACTGCCAATTGTGTCTGACGACTTTGTTGACATGAGCTTTGGCACAGGTGGGTTCAAACAGCAAGTTGTCTAGGGGTTGGGTCCCCTTCTCAATAGCCACAGAGAAAAAGTACTTTAAAAGCCTCTATATGACCGATATGTAAAATAGTACTCAAAGTGATTTAACAGTTAATGTGAGTTCATTTATAGAATTCCTTAACTGGGTATATCAACAATAGTTATAAATAATACTGTTAGTCCCTTCTGATAGCTGGTTTATATATTAGCAAAATGGTACACAGGTTATTTTCCCACTTGATGGTTGGTGGATATGGTCATGGTGGTGTTTATGATAATGGTGGTGGTTAGAATTATGGTGGTGGTTAGGATTATCGTGGTGTATAGGGTAATGGTGTTGATCGGGTCATGGTGGTGATTAATTTATTCCTTGCCTCACATCAATGGAACACATAATGACTTGAAATTTCACAACATGTCTCAACAAGACAAATAAGTAGCGGATGAGTAAAGTATACATAGCGTGTTGCTTTTAGTAAAATACTCTGTCAGACATTCATTTCTTGCCCCACAAGGCAGTAAGAGAAACATTTCATTATATAAGTATGGATCACAAAAATAATACCACCATGCTGGTCTCTTGTTTACATCATGGATCATCATCTAATATGTCAATAACTATTGAAAAGCTTCGGGGCTGTCTCGAACCAATACTAAGCGTCAGACAAGGTGCGATGTAAAATAACACAAAACGTGTGTGCTATTGTGATCATGACACGGGTCTTCTGTTAAAACAATTTGAACCATAAGTTCTCATGTCACCTATATGTCCAGGTCTAATTTAGGTATTATGGTGATCATTTTCCATTTTTTAGGGACTTTATTCTGCTTTAAAATCTGTTTTAAAAGAAATAATATGAATTTATTTCCCAGTGGGACCCTAGTCAGCAGTGGCAGTTGTCTAAATATATAACATCACTATTACTAGGAAAAAACAGTGACTAGAATTGCGGACCTTATTATGGTCCCTGGTCTTTCTCCTGCCCCCATGTTGAAGCATAGTGGACAAAATAGCAGACCACTGCTGCAAAGTGCAGGGTTAAAAAAGATATCTTTTGTTCAGACCTGCAGTATCGTCTGTGGCTCCCTTCCTACCCCAAAAAGTACATGGTATCTCTATGAGAGGGATCAACTGTTTTGCCAGTGTTGTAGATATAAAACTATTACTTACTGAATATTGTTTTTTTTATAGAAATGACACCATTTATGGTCTATAACTATTTAAAGATGGGAGACAACTACTTACTATCTATAACTATTTAAAGATGGGAGACCAATAGTTACTGTCTATAGCTAGTTAAAGATGGGCCACCACTAGTTACTGTCTATAGCTATTTAAAGATGGGACATGACTAGTCATGTCAAATCTACCATGTTAATCTCAGTGTCATTGTTTATTTAATGGTTTAGTTTATAACAATAAAACCAATGGATTGTAACCAAATTCGGCATGGTGTTAAAACTAGGTAACTTCTTCTTCTATATATTAAGGGCCCACGATCAATTTATTGATCATTTTGGCTCCTATGCATGTAGAGGGGATTTGCAAAGTTTCTGTGCCTGGTGCTGATGAGGATCTTTCAATGATTACAAGTGCTACTTTGTGAAGGAATCACGCAATGGGGGTTGGAAGGCTTGAGGCAATAGACGCAAATGTGTCTAGTGTTGTCGCCTCAACTGTTTCTTTTGAAAGCTTGTTCCAGTCCCTGATTGTCTCTGTCCATTCATCATCCACAAATCATCACCAATCATAGTTCTTGGTCCATTCACCATGGGATAATCTCTTCTTAATACCATGTGTATATTACAGTTTCTAACCCGATTAACACCGGGTAACATCCGCTCGTTTATTTACATATAAAACACAACTAGTATGATATACACTGATTAAAAACAGCCAATTCTTGAATTTCAACTGGATGATATTTGTATTCTTTTATTCATTTACATTTAAAAACACTGAGGTACTTATTTCTAAATTGTCATTGATTCAGGTGCTGTGAAGATTACGCCAGCCCATGATCATAATGACTACGAGGTGGGCAAGAGGCATAATCTCCCCTTTATAACAATTATTGACAACAATGGCCTCATCACTGGGGATTGTGGTCATTTTACGGTAAGTGGACATTGAGTTAGTCACTGTAATTAAAATTAACTTGTCCATCTGCTCCCTGTACCCCCTAGGTGGAGGACATTCAGTTGGTCCCAGTAATTAACATGTCCATATACTTATTATTATTTTTTAATAACCCCCCCCCCCCCCAATTAAGTGGACATTCAATTGGTCAAAGTAATTAACCTATCCATATGCTCCTTGTCCCCTGAATAATCACTTGGCAGCCATTCAAATCATATATATAGTCTTCCAACATCCTTATTGCGGAGTTTGGTTGATGACAAAATGAAACAATTATTTCACTGGTCTTTGTCACCTTTCATGGATCACAGATGGAGGATTTTAAGGACATGTTATGTGTACATAATGGTAGGAACATGCAGACGGTACAACATGACAGACATAGTGCTTAATAAAATCATGTCACTGACATAGTAAAAAAAGGCCATCAAACTGTGACATATAATGTCAACATACAGAACAATGTCAATATACTAAATATACAATGTCATGATACCAAACTTACAATGTCATGATTCAACCATAATGATACAAACATACAATCATGATACCAAACATAATAGGATACCAAACATACAATGTCATGATACTAAATATACAATGTCATTATACCAAACTTACAATGTCATGGTTCAACCATAATGATATGAAACATATAATGTCATGATTCAACCATAATATGATACAAACATACAATGTCATGATACCAAACATAGTATGATACCAAACATACAATGTCATGATGCCAAACAAATATTCCTTTGTGTCTTACAGACTAGATTCATTGCTAAATTCACTATCCCATATTATTGACTTGTTATTGTAGCTCTGCTGTACAATACTTTGTAGTATGCATTTGGTCTTGTGATTAGTGCCACAAAGCCTGCCTTACAAGGAAAGTAGGCAGTATCATTGAGAACTGTTTACTAGACAGTGGCCTGTGCACTATAGGATTTCATGTAACACCAGGGCACCCATGATCTAATCTAATATCTTAGACTAAAAAATGTCATCTTACAACAGGGTAAAATGTCATCATACCTTAGGGGGCCCCATGATGCAAGATGTGATTTAATAAGCCCCCCCCCCCATGCACTGCATAGGGTGATCTAGCGCCAGGGTCCCCATGCACTGTTTCTTGGTCGAACAATCTCACGAAGTGGGTCCATGGCAGGTACGGCCGTGCTGTTATATGCCTGTAACATGGCCAGCATGTCCCTCACTCTAGCCGGCTGGTACTTGGATAGGTCCCGTTTCTCTCGAGGGTCTCGCCGTATGTTGTACAATTGTACCAGGTCTGATGGCTTGTAGATCTTTTCCCTCTTTTTTTTCCCGTGTACTATGTTAACAGACAATTTGGAATAATGACTCACAGTAACATACCAGACTTATAGCCTTCCACTTTATAATAGAAATTGTACTTTGATTCATATAGCATTTAATTTTGTTTGTATTATTTGTCTTAAGTAAACAGTTATCAAAATTGACACAAATTTAAGTTTTATAACTAAAGATTTCTTTTAAAAAGCATATTTATAGTGATAAATTTCATACAAAGTTTGTTACTTATGACAAATATAGAAATGCCAAACTTGTTTAAAATTTAACATGGCTTATTTTTTATATGCACATATATTTGTACCAATCACTAAAATTTGAGTTTTGCCCAGTATTTTTATATTGAGAAACCGTCTTCTTATTTTATATGTAACCATAATACAATAATAAGAAACAAAGTAAAAAATCAATGTCTCGTTGACTTACTTGCTCCGGTTAACAATTTATAGTTTCCCACTCGTATAGCAGCCGTGATTCTAATGTCAAATGTTTTCCCATACCTGGCCACAGAACAATATAACAAATTATGTGGGTTCAAAAAAGCAAAAAGAAGCTGTCCAAGTGGGTAAAAGAACATTGGTAGTTAGCTTTGCTGTAGAGTATGTTAAAGACGCCTTGGTGATTTCAAGCACTAATGAAGGGCTTTCAAACTGTCACAGCAAAGTTCAAAGTAAATTGATCCAGTCTTCATTGTGCTGTGTACTTGAGGATGATAAATGAAGGGCTGTGTTCAAGCTGTGTGAAGGAAAAAGGGGAACTAGGTATTGTGTAGTTTGAAATGAAAAGGCAGGACGATAAAAAGAGATCGTTTTGGCTGAAAGCCTTCTCCAGCAGACAAGAAAAGGCTTTTAGTCGTAACGTTTTCTTTTCATTTCAAGCTTCAACATACCTTGTTTCACGATTTCCTGCTAAACATACGAAATTAATTAAATATTTTGTCTAAAATTATGAAATTTTATTTAATGTTAGGAGAAGTAAAATTTGAAAACAGGAGATAAAAGCACTCAACTATATATCCTGTTTCAATATTGTAGCTACTATACATGTCCTAATGATCTAGCTGCTATAAAAACTGTCTTTAATTTATGGTGTGTCTACTGTACATACTGTCTTAATGATGCTACAAAAATGTAAACTGTCATAATGATTTAGCCAATATACATACTGCCCAGTGATTTAGCCAATATACATACTGTCCTCGTGATTTAGTCAATATACATAATGTCCCAGTGGTTTTGCCAATAAACATGCTGTCCCTGTGATTTAGCCAATATACATACTGTCCCAGTGATTTAGCAGAGGCAACATCCAGTGGATCTATGTTATGCAGGATATGTTCTCTTCGCGTTGGTATCCTTTTACTGATCATGTTCCATTGGTCAATCCCAGCCAGGTCATGTGTGTTGTACATGTTTCCTTTAGCCAGATGGATCAAAGTAGGGAACCAATCGGAGATGTGCATCAGGCCCTTGTTGATGTAGCCCTGTAATGGAAGGAAGTTGTCTTTGCACATCCTGCCCATAATTTAGGCATCTTACCTTTTTTTATTTTTTATGTTGACCCCCCATCTCTATTGTGTGTGTTAGCTAGCCTAGGTACAGGATTGAGATGGCCTAGGTACAGGATTGAGATGGCCTAGGTATAATATTTAGATGGTCTAGGTACAGGATGTTTAATGTAAGCTCCAAGTTTGCTGCTGCCTTTTGACTTAGGTTTGTATAGGCGTTGTTTACTTGGGGCTCAACGCCTCCACTAGAATAGATAACCTTACTGTCCATTCCATCTGGTTGTTTTTCCACAGCTGGACAACTTTGAAGCCCCTATCCTTATTTTGAGAGACAGATATGAGACTGGGCCAATGTGTTTCGATATCATTTTACTTAAATGGATTTTAAAATACAATAAATTCAAAAGAATAATATTTTAGCAGTATTTCTGTAAGACTTGCCTACAGTTAGAGTTTCCTCAATGGTCATAAACTTATGCATCCGATAGTGTGTTTACCTTTTCTTTGAGAAGCGGACTTGCTACAAATGCCACCCCTTTGATCCCTCCTTCAAATAAAAGAGACTTTTTGCCCCTCAGTGGATAATTTGATCCACCTTCACTGGGAATACCTCCATTGTCGGTTGTGAACACCAGAACTGATGGGTGGGGAGTATAGCACATTGGTGAGACAAAAGCATTGACTGGAAACCACAGTAGGAAAGTAATAAAAAGGGTTTGATTCAACATAGCAGGCAACTGGCAGAAATGAAGCATGTTAAACAATAATTGAATTGAGCTGTAGAAAAGCTGTTAACAACTTGTGTTATCTAGTCAAAGGCAAACATGAATATATATTACATTCATTCTTTACCTGTATTTTTCCAAAATCCCCTCCTCTTCAAAGCCTCTACCACATGACCCACTCCTTCATCCATAGCTGTTGTCATGGCTGCGAATTTCCTTCTCTTTGGATTGGATATGTCTTGGTAATGTCTTTTGTACCTGGGTGGGACCTATTGGGTATATTGTTACATAAGTCATAATGTTTAGTCATTTCTTTTGTACTTGGGTAGGACCTACTGGATGTAAAGTTGCAGATGGCATAATCTTTTAGTAGTGTCTTTTGTACCTTCATGTAATGCTGATTATGTTATACTGTCTTCGTTAGGTCTTTTTTACCAGGGTGGGACCTATTGAATGTAATCTTTATTATGTGGTTAATGTCTTTTGTACCTTGGCATGACCTATTGGATGTAATATTGATGTCATAATTTAGTAGCTCTCAGAGACCTATTTGGTCTGTTTTGGTTGTTTGGTCCTAGTATATATTACTGTAAGTACATTTTGTGGTCAGGTGCGCCTACACAAACCACCTGAATTTCTCACCTGTAATGGGGCATGCACCGCCTGGTAGGCCAGGTACATGAAAAATGGCTTCTTCTTGGTCTGTGTGTTGATGAGGTCCACTGCTTTCTGTGTGTACATGTGTGTGGAGTAGGAGCCGCTTTCATTGAACACGTTTCTAAATGTTGTCGGGGTGTCATCGTGAAGGTCAACAGCACATCGGTTGTAGATGCAGCGGCTGTTGTCAAGACAACAGAATCATTTTACTTAAAATCTAAAGCCACTATTTTGAGTTGTCTCTAGGAGTGTGCCTATAGCTTTACTTGCCTGTGTTTATTTGAATGGTTATTGCTGTGAAGTTATCACAGATGTCATCACTGTGACACTGTCTGAACCATTAACAGACATTAGATGGGGCGGGGGAGGGGGGGGTGTAATGGCCATGATATTCCTTTTTGTAGACCCTAGATGTGGGTACAGTGGTTCTCACTTCCCATATATATAACTTACCTGTGGGTGTAGTGGTCCTGACTGTCCATATATATAACTTACCTGTGGGTGTAGTGGTCCTGACTGTCCATATACATAACATAGCTGTGGGTGTAGTGGTCCTGACTGTCCATATATATAACTTACCTGTGGGTGTAGTGGTCTTGACTGCACATATACATAACTTACTTGTGGGTGTAGTGGTCCTGACTGTCCATATATATAACTTACCTGTGGGTGTAGTGGTCCTGACTGTCCATATACATAACGTACCTGTGGGTGTAGTGGTCCTGACTGTCCATATACATAACTTACCTGTGGGTGTAGTGGTCTTGACTGCCCATGTAAAAGCCAAAAAACCTGTCGAAGCCTCTCCGTGTTGGTAGGTATTTCTTCATATAAAATCCGAGATGCCATTTCCCTACTCCGTAGGTGGAATAGCCTGCCTCCTTGAGTTTATCAGCAAGAGTGGGAGAGTCCAATGGCAGTGCGAAGGGTTGAGTAGGTAGGATGACACCATGCTGCAGACCTGTAGTTTGGGTGTTGGAGTCACGTTTAGTTTAGTACTGTTGAATTTTGAACAGGTGAAAATGTTTATTTTGAGTAAAATGTTTAGTTAAGAACTGTTCATGTTTAAACTGGTAAAATTGTTAATGTTTAGTAAAATATTTAGTTTATTGTTGCTGATTATTGAACATGCTTTGAGAACTGTCAAAATCAAAGGTTCCCATATTGTTCAAGGAACTGATCTGCTTGTGTATGCAGGTGGCTGGTCTTCATACCATAAGGATCTGCTTTACCTGTGTGGATTTGGTAACGGCCAGACATGAACTGACTCCTGCTGGGAGTACAAATAGGCTGGACATAGTAGTTCTCTAGACGTACACCTTCTTCGGCCAGTCGATCGATATTTGGGGTCCTAAGTAAAAAAAAAAATGGAGACTTTATCGACTTATGTGTTCAGATATCAATTATGTGACATAAAACTACATACATTTTTTAATTGAATGATATTTTTTGTTAACTGATCAGTGGCGTAGCCTAGAGTTAATGCCAACAGGGTAGGCCAAGATTTTTGCTGCTGCCCTCCAGTGACAAAAAAGTCTGCAGTTGGCATAAAATACTGCCCCTACATATAATGACAAACGTGTTGCTCCAGGCGGATCACCCCTTCTGCCCCCTTCCTACGCCACTGTAACTGATGATTTTCTTGGAATATACATTATTTGGTGCCTGTATTCTGTGACACTTAATCCATAAAGTGCAATGGAGAGTTGTCTACGTTTTGTATGAAGGATAGTGGTTGGTTTATGTGAATTTCTTTGTTAATTCTTTTTTTGGTCTTGTCTGCTCGAGGAGACATCTAGCAAAAACGTTCATTTGACTGTGTCGTCTTTTCATTTCAAGCCAAATCATATCTTCTTCCACTATTCAGTGATTGGTTTATGTGAATGTAACGTATGAAGTGCCATTGTTGGTTTATGTGAATGTAACGTATGAAGTGCCATTGTTGGTTTATGTGAATGTAACGTATAAAGTGCCATTGTTGGTTTATGTGAATGTAACTTATAAAGTGCCATTGTTGGTTTATGTGAATGTAACGTATGAAGTGCCATTGTTGGTTTATGTGAATGTAACGTATGAAGTGCCATTGTTGGTTTATGTGAATGTAACGTATGAAGTGCCATTGTTGGTTTATGTAAATGTAACACATGAAGTGGCATTGTTGGTTTATGTGAATGTAACGTATGAAGTGCCATTGCTGGTTTATGTGAATGTAACGCATGAAGTGCCATTGTTGGTTTATGTGAATGTAACGTATGAAGTGCAGTGATTGGTTTATGTGAATGTAACGTATGAAGTGCCATTGTTGGTTTATGTGAATGTAACGTATGAAGTGCCATTGTTGGTTTATGTGAATGTAACGTATGAAGTGCCATTGTTGGTTTATGTGAATGTAATGTATGAAGTGCCATTGTTGGTTGTTTACTTGATGACAGAGCCGTGATACCCCACGTCGTTGTATCCCAGGTCGTCTGCCATGATGACCACAATGTTTGGTGTCTGGGCTCCACCACAGGAAGTGGAGCCGCACAGAATCATCAGGGCGGGGAGCAGCCACTCCCACATGTCATGGGGTCTGCCAATGGAATTATTACGCCAATGAAAAAACAATTTCATGTAGCATACAGGCTGACACATAAACATATTATTTTTAGCATAAATATATAAAAATAGACACATAAACACATTATTTTGCAGCATAAATATATAAAAATAATAAAAGAGACTAAAAAAAGTGAAGGTAAAGAAATTTAAAAAGATTTCTTAATTTCTCAAAAATTGTTAAAATGCCCAGTGTGTACCGTGAGTAGAAAATACTATTTTAAGACTCCACGTGACTTTTAGTAAAAAGATAAATAAATACAAAGCTTGTTATTAATGTTGTATCGAACAAAATCTCGCCCCTTGGCCCGCAGTGCCTAATTGATTCAATCATTGATTCTCTATTTGACTCACTATTTGATTCACTATTTGATTTTCTATTTGACTCACTATTTGATTCACTATTTGAGTCACTATTTGGTCATTCCCTAAAAAGTCGTTTGACGACCTGTACCCTAATCTGATAGAATTGTAGAATTGGCTGACATTCCATCACACGGGGGACTTCCAACGTGATGAGATGGCGTGGTGTTGGTGAGAGGTGTGTTTACTTGCAGCTGGAGATAAGACGTTAGTCACAGCATTTATTTACATATCGATTGCATGATGCAGGGCAACGTTTTAAATGTGGTCAAAATGGAGCTTCTTCATTCTAGCCGTGGTCGTTGGGTTGGATGTAGGATAGAGTTTCATTGGGTTGTAGGATAGAGTTTCATTGGGTTGTAGGATAGAGATTGATTGGGTTGTAGGATAGAGTTTCATTGGGTTGGGTGTAGGATAGAGATTCATTGGGTTGGGTGTAGGATAGAGCTTCATTGGGTTGTAGGATAGAGTTTCATTGGGTTGGTTGTAGGATAGAGATTCATTGGGTTGTAGGATAAAGTTTCATTGGGTTGGGTTTAGGATAGAGATTCATTGGGTTGGGTGTAGGATAGAGCTTCATTGGGTTGTAGGATAGAGTTTCACTGGGTTGGGTGTAGGATAGAGTTTCATTGGGTTGTAGGATAGAGTTTCATTGGGTTGTAGGATAGAGTTTCATTGTGTTGTAGGATAGTGTCATTGGGGTGGAGTGTAGGATAGAGTTTCATTGGGTTTGGGTTGTAGGATAGAGATTCATTGGGTTGGGTGTAGGATAGAGATTCATTGGGTTGGGTGTAGGATAGAGTTTCATTGGGTTGTAGGATAGAGTTTCATTGGGTTGTAGGATAGAATAGAGTTTCATTGGGGTTGAGTGTAGGATAGTCTCATTGGGGTGGAGTGTATGATAGTGTCATTGGGGTGGAGTGTAGGATAGTCTCGGAGTGTAGGATAGTGTCATTGGGGTGGAGTGTAGGATAGCCTCGGAGTGTAGGATAGTGTCATTGGGGTGGAGTGTAGGATAGTCTCATTGGGGTGGAGTGTAGGATAGTGTCATTGGGGTGGAGTGTAGGATAGTGTCATTGGGGTGGAGTGTAGGATAGTGTCATTGGGGTGGAGTGTAGGATAGTGTCATTAGGGTTGAGTGTGGGATAGTGTCATTGGGGTGGAGTGTAGGATAGTGTCATTGGGGTGGAGTTTAGGATAGTGTCATTGGGGTGGGATGTAGAAAAGTCTCAATTTGGATGAGGTGTAGGTTAATCTGATTGGGATGGGGTGTAGTTTGGACCAGTTCTACGGTTGATGGCGCCCCGACTAGCGTCACTTTGGCGGATCATGTAATGAGTTTATTACCTATGGCGTTGTTTTATCAAACAATCAATGATACATTTGTTTTTCTTAACTTGTATTTGGACAGTACGAACAATTATCCTACCGTGGGGAATATGAACAGTTAGCCTACCTATAAATGACAACTTTCCGTTAGGGTAGACATTTTAACCATTTCCCGACACTGGTAGACATTTTAACAATTTCCCGACACTGGTAGACATTTTAACCATTTCCCGACACTGTTAGACATTTTAACCATTTCCCGACACTGGTAGACATTTTAACCATTTCCCGACACTGGTAGACATTTTAACCATTTCCCCGCACTACAAGACATTTTAGCCATTTCCCGTCACTAAAGGACATTTAAATCATTTTTCGGCACTAGAAGACATTCTAACCATTTTCCCGGCACTAGAAGACATTTTAACCATTTCCCGGTACTAGAAGACATTTTAACCATTTCCTGGCACTGGAAGACATTTTAACCATTTCTCGGCTCCGTTGGACCTATTTCTGGCACTGATAGAAACTATTACACTTACATTAACTATTTTAATGTGCCGTACTCAACTTATAATAGGGTTAGTGAGCCGAACAAATATATTAAACCCGTAAAGTGTGAATTGAATAAAATAATAGTTCTGTGGCACAGACTACGTCCAGATGCCTTGCCATCACAACTGAATGGGGTGACCTGCTGGAATGAGACATCGACTTTTAACACTATTTTAATGTTCTGGTCAGGATAGGTTTGAACCACACACCATTTAGAACTACTCCTGGTAATATACTGTGGTCTAGCTACTAAGGCAGATGGTGCCCAGATTGTAAGAACTATCCAGGTAAACCATGAGATGGTCAGTCCCATGTCTGACATTAGGACAACCCATTACTTGGTCACCATGAGATGTCAGCTCTGTTAGACATGAGAACAATCCAATACTTGAATTGGTCAGCATGAGATGACAGCCTAAGATTTGACACACGATGACGTACACAATGGCTTACCTCGGAATTCCTCCCCTTCCAGTCAATGCTAAGAATGTGAGGTCTTTCCTTATTTTTCTCTACTTGACTGGAAGTGGAGGGGTGGCGGGGGCACCTCGTTTACCCTCGTCTGTCGACTCTGATTCAAGCACACAGCCGACACTCTGACCGTGCGAGTGGAAATGTCTTATCCTTTTTATAAGTGGGGTGCAATGATCGCTTATTTTCGCCCTCAGGCGGCGGGCGTAGGTGACGAGACGGCAATGAGTAGAGGGGACATTCCCTTTTCCACCGTCTGGTTACAGTGTCCTGGTTGAACTACGGTCAGGAGTTGAATGGGTTCTAACTAACAGGGGGTTTAAGCGGGCTTAGTTACGCTTTGTGGTTCCCTTGTATTGAACTTGACACGGGGGACACCGGCAGTCATCAACACGAGGAAGTTCACATCAGTCAATGGGGCCACCCTACACTTCAATCTGCGGGACCACCCTACAATTTAATCTGAGGAGCCACCCTACACTTTAATCTGTGGGGCCACCCTACACTTTAATCTGTGGGGCCACCCTACACTTTAATTTGTGGGGCTACCCTACACTTCAATCTGCGGGACCACCCTACAATTTAATCTGAGGAGCCACCCTACACTTTAATCTGTGGGGCCACCCTACACTTTAATCTGTGGGGCCACCCTACACTTTAATCTGTGGGGCCACCCTACACTTCAATCTGTGGGACCACCCTACACTTTAATCTGTGGGACCACCCTACACTTTAATCTGTGGGCCCACCCTACACTTAAATCTGTGGGCATGTGGTGCTACCCTACTCTTCAATCTGCGGGGCCACCCTACACTTTAATCTGAGGAGCCACCCTACACTTTAATCTGTGGGGCCACCCTACACTTTAATCTGTGGGGCCACCCTACACTTTAATCTGTGGGGCCAACCTACACTTTATTCTGTGGGGCCACCCTACACTTTAATCTGTGGGGCCACCCTACACTTTATTCTGTGGGGCCACCCTACACTTCAATCTGTGAGACCACCTTACACTTCAATCTGTGGGACCACCGTACACTTCAATCTGTGGGGCCACCCTACACTTTAATCTGTGGGACCACCGTACACTTCAATCTGTGGGGCCACCCTACACTTCATTCTGTGAGACCACCCTACACTTCAATCTGTGGGACCACCTTACACTTCAATTAGTGGGATCACCTTTCAATCCATGGGACCACCTTATTATTTATGTGACACCTCACATTTGAATCTATGAGATCACCTTATAATTTATGTGACACCTCACATTTCAATCTATGAGACCACCTTATAATTTATGTGACACCTCACATTTCAATCTATGAGACCACCTTATAATTTATGTGACACCTCACATTTCAATCTATGAGACCACCTTATAATTATGTGACACCTCACATTTCAATCTATGAGACCACCTTATAATTTATGTGACACCTCACATTTCAATCTATGAGACCACCTTATAATTTATGTGACACCTCACATTTCAATCTATAAGACCACCTTACATTTCAATCTATAAGACCACCTTACATTTCAATCTATAAGACCACCTTACATTTCAATCTATAAGACCACCTTACATTTCAATCTATAAGACCACCTTACATTTCAATCTATAAGACCACCTTACATTTCAATCTATAAGACCACCTTACATTTCAAATCCACCCTCCCTCAAATGTACTCCATTATATAGTTTTTTAATTAAGGTTTAAAAATAAAGTTTTTTTTTTTTTTTTTAAATTTAATAATTTCCAAGAACAAAAGTAACACATGAAAATGTAAACAATCAGTCACATGAACGAGTTTAGGAGTGATTACAGGTCTTTGATTTAACAAGGAACGGGTGAGCACGCTAGTCAATTATGATAGATTGGGGAACATATTAATTTGGTGTTTTTGGTCCAACGCCACATTGACCACATTGATGCCAATGATGCTCTGTCAGAATAGTGTTATTGACAGACTAGTACCTCGACGCAATAATGCCCATTGCTTTCCTATGATTCCGTCACTGTGTGAGATGTGTCGGCGAGATCAGAGGATTATTCTTTTAAAACACGCTCACAGACGCTCACAAACAAGATAAAAACATCTTGTACACCCAGCGACAATCACATCTTCTTCTTCTTCTTCTTCTTCTCTATATTAAGGGCCCACGATCAGTTTATTGATCATTCTGGCTCCTATGCATGTAGAGGGGATTTGCAAAGTTTCTGTGCCTGGTGTTGACGAGGATATTTCACTGGTTGCAAAGGCTACTTAGTGACGGTATCATGCACTGGGGGTTGGAAGGCCTGAGGCAATAGACGCAAATGTGTCAAGTGGTGTCGCCTCAACTTTTCCTTTTGAAAGTTTGTTCCAGTCCCTGATTGTCTTTGGCAGGAATGAGCAGTTCCTATACTGGCCTCTACTGCCTGTAATGGCCTCGTCGTTGTCTAGTGGGGAGAGGTTCTTTCTTTCACAATGGAGTTGCCGATCTTTAGATTACGCCTTAAGAACCTCAAGGTCTTGATTGCTTGGCTACATACATTGTTAATATGCTCGTCCCAGCTGACCTCTCTTTGGATGGTAACACCCATTACGAAAGAAACTGGCTCAAATATATGGCCATGCCGTTCGTAATGATGGTGTAGAGGAGTACAACTTCTAGAGACTGACAGTGTCTGGCTCTTGGCAGGATGAAATTCCATGTCCCAGCTCATCTCCCACTCAGCTAAAATAGCACAGGGGTCCCCTAAGACCATCGGCAAACACATATTTATGAAAATGCAACGAAAATAATTTTATGGTTGGGGTCACCACCACACAAGGAACTGCATTTAAAGGTCGCGGCATTCGGAAGGTTGAGAACCACTGATCTAGCACGATCGCTTCCTCCTATTTATTGTTATTCAATCTTTTATAATCGTGTTTATAACTAAGTGTAAATAACTCCTATGTTGTCAACTACAGCATGCGGCTTATAGATTCAAAATAACATTAAATAACCCCTAAAAACAAAGTTTTCCCAATCAATCCTTTATAAAATTTAATATCAAGCAATGGGGATGGGGGCTGAACATTGGACAAAACATGCAGTCTAGTAACGCACTTTATGCAAGTTTAAACTAAACATATTTTGATTCTTTTTCCGTGACCTTTTCCCCCTCTATTCTCTGCCCCCTGTTTAGAAATACCCCAAACACATTTCGAAGTTGCTCCCCACCCCTTAATTTTGAAAAAGTTATCTTATGAATTCCAATGAAATATTTAAAAAGCTGATTCACTATTCATGAACAATATATATATATATATACATTTAAAAAGCTGATTCACTATTCATGAACAATATATATATATATATACATTTAAAAAGCTCTGGTTTATTTGGTGCGTAATATTTATTTTTTTCGGAAATATTTGGGATAAAAGGGTGTACAAAGGGGGTACAATATATTAGAATATAAATATGAATAAATGTCAGGCGTTGGTGTACAGGGGGGGGGGGACTAATTGGGAGTGGTATAAAATAGTTACCTGAAAGCATGTTTTGTCAAGTGAATGGAGTAGATAGGGAGTTGACGCCTAAAGCTTCGTTCTAGTTTGTGACATTAAGGAGATTGAAACCTATTTGAGCTCTCGGGCTGTCCCTACCGCACCAGGTCATATGTTAGATGACTGCGTCAACGATGGCAATGACAAAGTTCTGGAACTTTCCATGCCATGGTCATCTGGTCTGCAGCTCATTGCTACACACAGTCTAGAACTGAGCGTTCTATGCAGATGTCGTCTGGTCTGCAGCTCATTGCTACACACAGTCTAGAACTGAGCGTTCTATGCAGATGTCGTCTGGTCTGCAGCTCATTGCTACACACAGTCTGGAACTGAGCGTTCTATGGAGATGTCGTCTGGTCTGCAGCTCATTGCTACACACAGCCTAGAACTGAACGGTCTATCCAGATGTCGTCTGGTCTGCAGCTCATTGCTACACATAGTCTGGAACTGAACGGTCTATCCAGATGTCGTCTGGTCTGCAGCTCATTGCTACACACAGTCTGGAACTGAGCGTTCAATGCAGATGTCGTCTGGTCTGCAGCTCATTGCTACACACAGTCTGGAACTTTCTATGCACATGTCGTCTGGTCTGCAGCTCATTGCTGCACACAGTCTGGAACTGAATGGTCTATCCAGATGTCGTCTGGTCTGCAGCTCATTGCTACACACAGTCTGGAACTGAGCGTTCTATGCAGATGTCGTCTGGTCTGCTGCTCATTGCTACACACAGTCTGGAACTGAGCGTTCTATGCAGATGTCGTCTGGTCTGCAGCTCATTGCTACACACAGTCTGGAACTGAGCGTTCTATGCAGATGTCGTCTGGTCTGCAGCTCATTGCTACACACAGTCTGGAACTGAGCGTTCTATGGAGATGTCGTCTGGTCTGCAGTACTATACTCGTCTAGACGAGCCCATGTCGATCCATGTCCCCACCCGTCTACCCTTACACACAACGGGGTACTAGGTTACACGTGACACCAGCCGACACCAATGAACCCTCCTCTTTCCCTCTCTCTCTGTCTCTCTCATTCACGCTCTCCGTCTCTCTCACTGTTTACAACCCATATAAACCATACAGAACACGGTCCCTTTCTTACTCTCCTTCTACCCCTTCACTCACACCGCCACCAACCCGCCCACACACCCCACAATGTTGGGCTCTAAGTGAGCCAGTCTCAGGTCTACACGTTTCGAATGCCCCGGAATGAGCCAACTACATCTGTGTCGCCCCCCCCCCCAGAACATGGTTTGATGCCCCAGTTAAACTACCACCCACCCGCCCACCCACCCCACAATGTTGGGCTCTAAGTGAGCCCGTCTCAGGTCTACACGTTTCGAATGCCCCGGAATGAGCCAACTACATCTGTGTCGCCCCCCCCCCCCAGAACATGGTTTGATGGCCCAGTTAAACTACAAGTCTTAGAGTCCATGTGTCGAGTTGTAAGACAAAGCCATGTTACACTCTCTCCTCTATAAT